TTTTCCTTTTTTTTTTGGGGGGGGGGTATTTTTTTTTTTAGTCCTCCCGTCTGAAATATCAATAATGTGTATGATATCGTAGCTTCATGTTTTAATTACGTCAATCCTGTATCTGTGTTGTTTTCCCCACAGAGTTTTTTCATCCGGTGTACGAAAGACGGAGAGCCTTGCATCTTGCAGCAGTGCGGCGGCAACTGTGACATCAAGAAGCAGCTGAGGAACCGATGCCAGTACTGCCGCTACCAGCAGTGCCTAGCTATGGGCATGACCAGAAAAGGTAAGCTTTTACACAATTTAAGCCCCCCCCCCCCCCTGCCCCCTTTTTTGGGGGAATATTGCGCCGATGCTTCAATACATGGCAGCCTTCCTTGATCTATTTTGGACCAATTACAAGTAACAAGTACTAATAATTCGTTGCTCAGAAATAGTTGGATTGACAGTGCAGATACGTGACTGAATAGCCTAAGTAAGTGTGACAATTAGAATATTATTAGGTTTAGTAGCTCCGAGCTGTAAATATATCGATTATACCATATGACCATTTTAGTTCGTTTTGTATAACAACAAGGATTCATGTTATATATGTATTATATATGTATGTGTATATAATTATGTCTGACCGTCTGTCTGTCAGTCTGTCTGTCTGTCTGTTTGTATGTCTGTCGGGAGGTGCTTTATGGGTAAATTGTAAATAAGATGCTAAGTGAATGAAGGGGAAGACTGAATAAAAAAAGAACGCTGACAGACTTCACAATAACAAACATAACAGTCACGCAGTGACATCCGTCAAAGACATACAGGTAGACAGAGACACAGTTAAAAATAATATCGACTGGGGCGAGGTTGAGTTAACTGGACTCCATATTATCCTTGCGTCGCTTCACAGAAAAACCGGAGTCCATCATGCCTCAAGAGGGTCAGGAACTGTGCAAAGTGTGTGGGGACTTGGCCAATGGCATCCATTTTGGTGTCTACACCTGTGAGGGCTGCAAGGTAAGACGTGTGCTTGTTCTGCTGGTTGTCACGCACACACACACACACACACACACACACACACACACACACACACACACACACACACACACACACACAC